TTCAACGTTTATTTATTTTTGGGACAGGGAGAGACAGAGCATGAATGGGGGAGGGTCAGAGAGAGAGGGAGACAGAGAGTTGGAAACAGGCTCCAGGCTCTGAGCCATCAGCCCAGAGCCTGACGCGGGGCTCGAACTCACAGACCGCAAGATCGTGACCTGGCTGAAGTCGGACGCTTAACCGACTGCGCCACCCAGGCGCCCACCCCCAACTTTTTTAAAGAAAAACAAGTACTACTCCAAAATGTAACCAGATGGAAGATTTTTTGCTACAAATGGAAATAATCTACTTTATTGTTCAATAAACAAATTCACAGTAGGATGCTGGGGACTCCAATATAACAGGAATAATAGTACCACTTTACATGACTTCACGTATATTTGATTATTTCATCCTCACAACAAAGTTTTAAAATAGGTACCATCTTCTTTTTAGAGATGAAGAAAACAAGTCTTGGGTAAAAGGATTTACCCAAAGTCTAACAGTACTCAAGGTTTCTTGAGTCCATATGTTATAACTATGACCATCGTCACCACTGTTCCCATGGCCCACTGATAATTCATTGTAACTCTCTGGTCTATTTCACCTAAAATATTTTCCACTTCAAGTACTCCTGAACTAATCTCCCTGACTTTTGTGAGGCATGTTCCTTATTACAAGTTCTACCAATCAGTCAAACAAATTTGCAAGTAGGTTCCTTCTCCCTCATCCAATTAATTTTTACACGTACCACTTTAAGAGTTACAATATTAAGCCCCATATCTTCATTTAGAGAGGAGGAAAATAAGACTCAGAGAGTTTGTGGCTTTTCTAAGATTACAAAAAAAATTAGGTTCAGATGTAGGATTAGTCTAAAGTTCTGACTACTCTTATTCTACACCTCAGTCCCCGTGGTGTTTTTTGTTTTTATGTTTATTTTTGAGAGAGACAGACAATGAGACAAATCATGAGCGAGGCAGGGGCAGAAAGAGAGGGAAACACAGAATCTGAAGCAGGCTCCAGGCTCTGAGCTGTCGGCACAGACCGTGAGATCATGTCCTGAGCCAAAGTCGGATGCTTAACTGACTGAGCCAAGCAGGCACCACAGCAGTCACGGTGTTTTAGTGCTTTCCCTTCTTGTGTGTGCTTACAGGTAATAAAGGGATCTTAAGATATTAGATATTTACAACATATCTAACATGAAAAGCCCAAAGAAATGAACACTACTTACATTACTTTCTGGGTCTGATAATATGGCAGACGCCAAGGCTGCAATATGCATTTTCTTCTCCTGTAGTTTCTTCCTTCTCTCAATTAAATGTTCTTCTAATGTCAGTTCTCGAATGGGATCTTCAATGATCTCTGAAACAAATTAGGCTTCCCTCTTAAACATTTATTTACAAGTACCCAAGAAAGTTCATCAACAGAGTAATTTTCTTATAGTAATAGACGATAATGATAACTTTTATTGGACACTTGCCATGGGCCAAGATTACTACATATCCTCTCAAAAATACTATGAGGCGGGGCGCCTGGGTGGCTCAGTCAGTTAAGCAACCAACTCTTGGTTTCGGCTCAGGTCATGATCTCACGGTTTGTGAGTTTGAGCTTCGTGTCTGGCTCTGCACTGCAGAGACTGCCTGGAACTCTCTCTCTCTCTCCCTCTCTCTCTGCCCCTTATCCACATATGCTCTCTCTCAAAATAAATAAACTTTAAAAAAAGTTTATGAGGCAGGTACAATCATCATACCCATTCTGTACACAGAAAATGAGGCAAAGGGACAGTAATTTGCTTATACTCATAAACCTGGCAGAAATGGAATTCAAACCCGGTGGTCTGACTAGAGAGCCCATATTCTTTTTTTTTTTAATTTATTATTTTTTTTTACGTTTATTTGTTTTTGAGAGAGAGAGTACGATCAGGGGAGGGGCAGAGAGAGAGGGAGACACAGAATCTGAAGAAGGAAGGCTCCAGGCTCTGAGCTGTCAGCACAAAGCCTGATGCAGGGCTCGAACCCATGAATCGTGAGATCATGACCTGAGCCAAAATCGGATGCTCAACCAACAGAGCCACCCAACCGCCCCATTTTTTTTTTTTTTTTTTTTTTTTTTTGGAGAGATAGAGCATGAGTGAGTGGGGGGAGGGGGGGAGAGAGAGAGAAAGAGAGAGAGAGAGAGAGAGAGAGATGGAGACACAGAATATGAAGCAGGCTCCAAGCTGTCAGCACAGAGCTGTGAGATCGTGACCTGGACTGAAGTCAGACCCTAACTGACTGAGCCACCCAGGCGCCCCATGAGAGCCCATATTCTTAACTACTATGCATAATTCCTATTAATTAAAGGAAAAAGAAATCTGATTTAGTTTTCAAAAAAGTACAGAAGGGCGCCTGGGTGGCTCAGTCAGTTGGGCATCCAACCCTTGATTTCAGCTCAGGTCATGATTCCAGGGTCATGGGATCAAGCCCCATGTTGCACTCTGCACTGAGCATGGAGCCTGCTTAAGACTCTCTTTCTCTCTCCCTCTGTCCCTCTCCCATGCTTGTACTCTCTCTAAAGAAAATATTAATTAAAAAAAATAAAATGTAGAAAAGTACAGCCTTGTTTTCAACTCTATACAGTCCTCTGCACTACAGAAAATATGTCCACTTTTAGAAAAGAAATTCCTAGGGAACTAGATTGAACAAACACACAAGCATAATCTGTAACCCTAGGAAGAGTGACTGAAAACAGTTAAACAGTTGACCTGTTATCTCCTTTACACTATACGTGAGGTTTGCTAAGCAAAGGTAAAATTTAACCAGCTTGTTCTATCACAAATTCTAAACAGAGAATTTCAAACAATAAAATATGTTCTTTCAGTTTAACTTTGATTGCAATGGTCTTAGCTGTTAGAAACCCACATTCAAAGGCCTAAAGCCGACATATATAAGGATAATTGCTCTAATAAAGAAGTGAAATGGTTTCATACCACAGAATCATTTCTAATTTAAAGCTAAAAGTTCATAATTATTTATAGGCAGGTCTTTCACTTGAAATTAAAAAGGATTCAAACAGTAATCACTTATGAGACTCTTCATGTATGCCTAGACATTACAAACATAACTGCATAAAATTTTCCACAATAAAGAGCAACAAAGAATCAAATTCCACAAGGTGAGACTTTCAACAAGTGGGAAAATGCTCAAAATGACTTTGAAATGACCAGTACTCTAAAATGCACAGTTCCAGACTTTTTCTAAAATTGAGTCATATTTACTATTAAGCAAAAAACTGTAATTCTCAATTAACAATTTAGTAATTATAAAGACACATCATTACCTTCCTCAAGTTCCATCTCTTCTTCATCCTCTTCATCTTGGTTATTGTCAGTAACTACATGGAAAATACATGCATTAAAAATGTGACAATTTACTTCAGCGATAAAACTACAAAGGAAAGAGATTACCATAAAACTCAGGAAAGTAGTTACTTTCGTGAGGAGGGAACAACTAGTGATTTAGGGGAGCACAAAGAAAGTTTCTGGGTGCTGGCAGCATTTATTTCTTGCCTGGATGGTAGTTATATGGGCGTGTTTTTGTGATAAACCACATGACTTTGCAACTTTGATTTCTAGACTTTCCTATGTTTTATTTCATAAGAAAAAAAGATACAGGTAAAAAAAAAAAGGATGACTATTATGTGCTCTAATTTTAGAAACAATAGTATTTGGTGAAAAAAACTCTGAAAAGAAAATCACCTCAATATAGTAGCTTCAGCTATACTCATGGTACAATAGACATCATCTGAGATAATCATCTGTATTTCTGGCTAAAATCCTCAAGCTTGCTCTGTGACTAATTGCAGCTACCCCTATTTTGTAGGTATGGGTGAAAGTAAAAAGAAAATTAAATCTTGAAAAAAAAAATTGTGTTAATATTAGTAAGCAGCTATAATTTTTACTAATCTACTGGCTAATCAGATTCACCTGGCTTCTCCCTGGTCTGTGGGATTATACCACTTTTATCCTTGATAGGAAGCAAGTGAATCAGTTCCTTCTCCGGTGCAGTTTGCAGAGTTCTTGGTATTTTTTCATATTTTTCTATAATACGCTCATGCTTTCGTTTCTTGACATGAACAGGTTCACTGCAGGGAAAAAAGAAAAGAAAATTCCAGCTTTAATGTACAAATGGAACCTAGAGACCAGTAGAGAAGTACAGAAAATACACTACTAGCCAAACCTCCAAGAGGTATACAGATATTAGCACCTAGACCAGGCACACAGCAGGCACTCAAATAAAAAATGAATAAATGAATTGTATAGTACTGTATTGTATAGCATAGTACTATTGTATAGTATAGTACCGTCCCACAGAGACTCAAACTATGACTGGATCTAATTTTTTCCTTCAGATGCAAACGAGTGGGTTACAGCAGATTCTTTTTGAAGACTATTCCACAGAGCCAAGGGTGGTATCGTGCTATTTTACTTTCCCAAAAACCTTCAGACCATAACATGGACTTAGAAGAGTTAGAAAGAGCTAAGTTTAAATTTCAGATCCACTGCTTATGATTGCAGGAAGCATCAGTTTCCTCTGTAAATGGGAATAACATTTACATAACATAAAATGGGAATAACCTACCTAACAGGGCAACAAGGATTAAGAACTCAGGACTGTTCTGCCAATTCCCCAAACACAGAGCTGCATTCTTCCCCAGTGCACTCTACTTCACTATCCAGACTAAAAAGAAATAAAGATATACACTAAATAAGGCCAGTTTGTTTTATTCATGAACTTCCTTAATTTAGGAAATAAACCAAGTCACAAGGTTTACTCTTTGCAAATACTGTGTTCTGAGCTGAACATCTTGTACTAAACACCTACGTAAAATCCAGAACCAAGTTTTTAACACTAAAAGGACATGAATGATTATAATCTATATGAAGTATTACCTAGAAGAAAGATCTCTTGTTAGAAAAGATGCTCTTTGTCCTAAGTCTCTCATTAACTGTAAGTCATCTTCATCCATCATATCTAAAGGAAGGGCTTCCTCTTCTTCCTCCTCTTCCCTCTCAATCCTTTTACCTGTTCCAATACAACAAAATCAGAAACAACTATTAGAAGCACAGAACTCTGTGTTTTTGTGTCAACAAGAGGAAAAGTTTAGGCTTTTCTAGTACCTTTGCCCAGTGTTTCTAAATGGAAGCACTAATGACACAGTGGGCAGGACAGTTCTTTGTTTTACAGTCCTGAGCTAGGCAAAATCCTAGCATCTCCAATCCCTGAAATCTAAATGCCAGGAGCCTTCCCAGGTCACTGTAATAACCAAAAATTAAAATGCCTCCACACATTCTGCAATGTCTTTCAGAGCATGGGAGAACCAGTGATTTAGCCGTTTCCCTCCTTCTGATTCCCAATGACTTTCATTTCCATTCCACTTCAGTCACCCCCTCCACAGGCCACATCCCACACCTTCTTGCTTTCTCCTGCCTTATTCTGTCATTGAAGCCCTCTCCCCCTTACCCTTCAAATTCTCTCATCTGTTAACTTCTTTATATCAGCATTTTAAGATGGGTGAAGTCATGGTCCAGTGGGCAATTTGTCAATTTTACTTCGTTACGTAGATTATGTGGATCATACAGATAAAACTGTCTGTCTTAACACCTGTATAGTATTTCACCATAGGTAAACAACATCTACGTCATTTAACAATTCCCTGTGGGAGAACATTTTATTTTCAATTTTTGATCATGCAGGCATTTTTATTTCTTTGTTTGCTGTTACTAATAATGTTGCAATGAGCATGCTTGGAAATACATTCTTGGCAATTTTTTTCAAATATAATCATAGGTTGATTCCTAACAGGAAGACTATTGGTCAAAGGAAAATCCACTTATTTTCTTAAAATCTTATTCTGTGATAGTGAATATGAGTGTATAAATATATACTTTTCTCCTTTTTATTCAAATGGTATAAGCATCTCATACATGTGGTGATAGCCTATAATTACAATTAAGTGAAAACATCAATACACATTACTTTTCACCTTGTTTTTCAACATTAACTATTTTGTAGAGTATTTGATGTGGACATAAAGACCTTCCTTCTTTCTTGAAACACTCTTCTTCTGATTTCTAAGACACTATACAGTTCTGGTTTTCTTCCTAATTCTCTGGCTCCTCCTCAAATCCCATTACATATTCCTCCACCCATTTCTTTCTTTTTTTTAATGTTTATTTATTTTTGAGAGAGAGAGATGGAGTGTGAGCATGGGAGGGGCAAAGAGAGAGGGATACACACAATCTGAAGCAGGCTCCAGGCTCCGAGCTGTCAGCACAGAGCCCGACAGGAGGCTCCAACTCCCGAACCATGACATCATGACCTGAGCAGATGCATAACCAACTGAGCCATCCAGGCACCCCTCCCCTCCACCCATTTCTTAAATGCTGGGGTTCCTTAAAATTCTTTCTTGGTTTTCTTGTTCTCAGTCTCCACAGTCTTCGCAGTCTTCAATTACCATCTATATGCAGATAATTGCCAAAGCTATTCTCTCTAGCCCAGATATTTCACATGAACCTTATACTCTTATACCCAACTGCCTGACAGACTTCATTTAGATGCTCAACATGTAAAAATGAGTATTTTACTTTTTATATGTAATTATTAACAAATTTTTAAAATTCTACTGAAATTTAGATAGAAGAGATCCTAAAAAGCATCTAACTCAACCATTGCTTTTTTTTTTTTTTTTTTTAAACAGATGAAGTACCTGAAGATTAAGTGACTAACTTAGGCCACTTTCCTAGTAACAAAATTAAGAAAACCCAAGGGGCACCTGGCTGGCTCAGTCAGGGGAGCATGTGACTCTTGATTTTGGGGTTTTGAGTTCAAGCCCTACGTTGGGTATAGAGATTACTTAAAAATAAAATCTTTAAAAAAAAAAAGAGAGAGAGAAACCCAAGTTTCCTGACTTCCAGCCCAATGACCTTTTATACATCACAATAATATGTAGCCAAAAGATCAAACTAAATAGGTCAGGATTAAGAGAATGAGATGTAGATGTACATGGGAAGACTGACTAGTCAGATACACTCAAATATGAATACCCTGAAAGTACCAGTAACATTGTAGAACAACTGGTCTGACTCAAAATGGCCATGTTCCTTACCTGTTTTGAGTACTTGAAGTTCTTGGATAATTTTACAAAAGAATAACCCTGTCAGTTACAGCTCAATTTCACTCCAAGTTTCCAAATGAAAAGAAAGTCAGAAGTTTAGAAAACTAAGTGAACTTTGGCAACACTGTGAAGAATGCTCCAGAGAAAGCTATGTTCTTACCTTTGCTAACTGCCAGTGAATGGGAAAGTGGCAACACTGGCATGCTCCCCAACATTTATTTACACAGCTAATCTGCTTGTTTTCCCAAGTCTTCTTGATCTCCTTTCTAGACAAACTAAAAGCAGAGACTATCTCCTTCTCACAATGAATACTATATTGAAACGTTTTCTCAAATGGACTGATAAAGCATATAGGACCACTATCCTTACCTACTCTTAGGAAGATCTGAAAACAACAGCAGTTACTAGAAAGCAATGTTGTTTCATGAAAAACATTTTGTTTTTTTTTTTTCTTTTAATGTTCATTTATTATTGAAACACAGAGAGAGACAGAGAGTGAGCAGGGGAGGGGTAGACAAAAGGGGAGACACAGAATCCGAAGCAGGCTCCAGGCTCTGAGCTGTCAGCACAGAGCCCGACGCGGGGCTTGAACCTACAAACTGCGAGATCATGACCTGAGCCGTAGTCGGTCGCCTAACCAACTGAGCCACCCAGGTGCCTCTATGAAGAACATTTTAGAAAAAATCAATAGTGGGGTGCCTGAATGGTTCGGTCAGTTGAGCATCCGACTTTGGCTCAGGTCAAGATCTCACAGCTAGTAGGTTTGGGCCCCCAACCAGCTCTGTGCTGACAGCTCAGAGCCTGGAACCTGCTTCAGACGGTCTCGGCTCTCTGCCTCTTCCCTGTTTGTGCTCTCTTTCTCTCTCTCCCAAAATATATAACCAATATTAAACAAAATTTTTTTAATTAAAAAAAAAGAAAAACTCAATGGAAACTACAGTACATGAATGCTTTCACAATTACCTGGTTGTTTTTCCCTTGGGTCTTCCAGTGGAATCGGTTTCTTAGACACAGCATCTTTTACAGCTTGCCTTAGTTTCCTCTGTTCTTTTCGGTACTTCTTGAGAGTGCTTTGTTGTTTAAATTGCTTATTTTTTAGCTTGTTTTCAAGTTTCACTTTACTAGTTTTCAGCAACTTCCGAAAGCTTGGGATCTGCTTTTTATTTCTTCTCTAGAAAACAGTAACAGGAGTACTGCACACCCAGAAATTTAAATTGCATACTCACAGCAAAATGTTATCTTTAAAATAAGTGACATTCATAGATCGGTTTACTCTTTGCAAAGTTCTCCAACATACGTATCCCCTTCAAAAGCCTAGTTAAGGAGTGATTGATGTTACCTTCAAATTACTGATTAAGAAGCTAAGGCTGAGATTATATGACTTGTCAAAGACCCCTAAACTAAAAAGGAAAAAACAGAATTCGGGTCTTTGGATTCCAACATTTGCTGGTAACCCCTCATTCAGAAATCCAAATCTCAGCCCTCATTTTCTCTAAAACCGGGGCAAATCACTTACTTTCCTAACTCCTTACCCTTTAGGAGAAAAAATGGGACTCATGTCGAGTCCCATAACACACATTATAAACTCACTGAGAGCAGAACCCTGTTTCTCAACCGTAAAATAAGGGATTCGAAAGATAGTCTCGAAGAACCCTTTAATGTCCGACACCCTACAGAAACAAGGCTCCGTGCCTGTCTCATCGCGGCCCCCTGAAGCCAACCACGCGCACAGTGGGCAATGAAGGAAGCACCAGATCTAAGAGCCGGGACAGCACACAGAACCAGAAGGGAGCCCCGAATCTAGGCCACCGCCCCCAACAGAAGAACAAAAACCCGCGCCAAAACTACATCACGCAGAGATTGTCAGCCAAAAGGGCCCTAAACCGCGGAGACCTGGCTTCTCAGGACACTCACCGCCTTCATCCTTAAATATGAAGGGAGTTCCGGCCCTGCAGTTTCACCGGGAATAAAGGTAATCCACAAAACCCGAGAAGGTAACACACGTGCCCAAACCCGGACACTGCGCAAGGCGGAAGCTACCGCTGGCTCCTCCCCGTCCTCCGCCTCCGGAAATGGGGGCGGGACTTCCGCACCCAGCTTCAGCCGCGCGCCCTCTCGCGGCGCCGGGTAGGTGGCGCGCCGGCGAGAGCGCACGTGAACGCGTAGTGTCCCTGAGCGACGCCCTGGCAGAAGGCGGGTGGCCCCAGGGGAACTTCGCAAGGTCTGTGATTCTTATCCTCTCGTCCGATTTCCTTTACGGTCTTGGAGGAGTCGGGCTCCACCCTTCAGAACGAAAGGGCTTGATTTTTATTAATCACCTTACTGCACGTTGTGCCACCATCACGTAGCTTACCTCATCCTTATGTCATAGATACTTGTGCAATTGGTTTTCCTCCGTCAAGGCTTGGGCGCCGAAAAAGCCTTATTCCTTTTGGGTAATTCCTGTCCCTCAACGGGCCCTCTGGGCGTATTTGTGGAATGGCGAATGACGTCTCATGACCTTCCGGAACTCAAAAGTCTCGAATTCTTGATATTTTATCTTCAAATATTTCTTGCCTTCATTTCACCCCTTGTCTGATAAAGAGGTATATCGGTGAGACTCTGCATTTCCATATTTTACAACTCTTACCTTTGCGTAAATTTTACTGTCTGCGTTTGAATTCCAACAGTCATTAATTCTAACAGGAAGATTTATGTATTGCAAGAATATGTTTTTCAGAATGTTTGTCTCTCAAAGGCTTTTTTTCCCCCTGAATAAATTAAAGAATTCCACTTCAGTCTATTTTTTAAAGGAATAAAGTATGAGCGACATCTCAACAAAGTCCCGGCCCCGCAGTCCGAAGGCAGGTGGGAAAATCGAGGAGAGGCTCAGAAGTCTGAGCTCCCTGTTGAATGGTGGTGCTAAAGAGCCAGAAGAACCTGCCAATTTCTGGATCTCACTTCAGAGACCAAGAATCCCATTCTATCTGGAATTCTTCTTTCCCTCCCTTGCAAGTTCACCAGTTTTCCCTGTTGTGCTCTCTCCTTCCCCACACACTCTCAGAAACAGCAGAGCCTGTCCCACTGGAGTATTACTTCATCGAGCAAATTGAAAACATTAGCCTATGCTCTTCCCAAGTGCCTGAATTCCTTCCCAAACACATAGCAATTTGTCTTCTGATCACTCCCATCCTTCCAGCTTTCCACCAGTCTCTCCAAAAGTGAGGCATCCCCATTTAGGTACAAAACCAACTTCTTCCAACTTTATCAGACTCCTGTATCACTAATTATCCCTTCTTTCTCGGTTTCCCCTCTACTAGATTCTTCCCCTCAACCTATTAACATATTCAAATCTCTGCCATATTTTTTTCCTAATGACTTATCTCTTTTTTATTTATATATATATTTAAAAAAAATTTTTTTTTCAATGTTTATTTATTTTTGGGACAGAGAGAGACAGAGCATGAACGGGGGAGGGGCAGAGAGAGAGGGAGACACAGAATCGGAAACAGGCTCCAGCCTCTGAGCCATCAGCCCAGAGCCTGACGTGGGGCTCGAACCCACGGACCGCGAGATCGTGACCTGGCTGAAGTAGGACGCTTAACCGACTGCGCCACCCAGGCGCCCCATATATATATTTTTAGAGAGTTAGAGTGCACAAGTGGGGGAGAGGGAGAGAGAAAATTTCAAGCAGGTCCCCACCTACCGCAGAGCCTGATGTGGGGCTCGTATGATCCTGGGATCGTGACCTGAGCCGAAATCAAGAGTTAGATGCTCAACTGACTGAGCCACCTGGGTGCCCCAGACTATCTCCTTTTAATTTAATTACAGTTTCATTTTCCTCCTTCCCTGCTTGTCCTTACTTCCAAAAATCTGGTATTCTGATGTCTCCACTTCCTCCTTTGTTATTACAGCCCAAGTCTGTGCTAGCTTTTTTAGGAATTAAATCACATGCTTGACCTATTTTAAGTTTATAATCAACTTGAATCCCTAGATCATTTTTAAGCAATTGTTGCCAAGCTAAATCCTTCCCATCTGGAATTTGAGCAATCCATTATTTTTACACAAACTTGAAAATGGAAGCTTACATGATTCCTACTAGTTTAATCTTAATGGTTTCTCAATTCTGTCATCTTCAGGTTTGTGTCATTTACCATTAGCTCAATCCACTGCTGAACTCAATTTGGGTTCTAGATCCTCTTGGATCTTGCAGAGATTTACTGGACACTTGGGCTAAGGGAGGTCACTGGGCTACCTCAAACTAGTTTTACAGGGATTGTACTTAGATTCCTGTGAGCCCTTTTGAGCAGTCTGTAAAGAACCCATCTGGGTCTGCCCATAACATTCCACTGAAACTGCTCTCCTTAGGGTCACCAAGAACCTCCAAATTGTTTTTCTTTTTTAAGTGTGCAATAAACCATATCACTTCTTTTTACTTTTCTTAACCTTTAAAAAAAAATTTTTTTTGATGTTTATTTTTGAGAGAGCACAAGCAGGGAAGGGGCAGAGAGAGAGGGAGACACAGAATCTGAAGCAGGCTTCAGACTGAGCTATCGGCACAGAGCCCAACAGGAGGCTTAAACTCACAAGCTGTGAGATCATGACCTGATCGGAAGTCTGACGCTTAACCGACTGAGCCACCCAGGTGCCCCTTAACCGTTTTTAGCACTGCCTTTGATGCTACATATTTCTCCTTCCTCACACCACAATGTGTCAATGGTCTTTGCTCCTCTACCAGCCTCTTCCTCAGGTTCTCGTCCCACCTCCATTCCTTCTTCCTCATGCCTCTTCAATGTAAGTGATTCTCAGGGTTCTGCTCTTGGTCCACTTTTCTACTTCTTATTCTACTTGCTTTTTCAATGTGATCTCATCCAACTACATATTGCAAAAAGATTTCCAAACCATTTGTCCAGTCCATACCTCTCCTTCCAAGCTTCAGTGTTATAGCTACCTCCTTATGGACATCTCCACATAGTAACCATAGAGCTTCAAATCACCATGTTCAAAACCAAACTACTTTTTTTTTAACTTGTGCCTATGCCATCCAATATTCCCTATTTCATTCATTTACCCACAGCTAGAATCCCAATATTCCAGAGATCATGGGACACAAGCTAGGGCTTTCTTAGCCATTTTCTATAAACAGACTGATTTGAAAAATGTCACTAAATGGACATGGAACAATAAGGCTTCTGGTGTTCGTAGATAATTCATCTAAGATGTAACAAGAGACCTTGAAGAAACTAAAAGCGCATACTAGGCTCAACGTAGATGTGTCATATTTCCTTATGAGAAATTACTAATTGGTGACAGATTATAAAAAATGTATATCTCCAAAATTCAGGCATCAGGAATTTGAAAATATATATGTCATGGCCTCTACCTTCATCAATGTCAAAATGTAGTTGAGAAAAATATTTGTGTAGTTGAGAAAGATAGTTATGCATGACCAAGTAAAGATTAATAGAAGAGATTGTGTAGATGGTAAAAGAGAACAGAAAGCTTGGGAAGAAATGACAGAACAATGTGTACTTAAATGGACCCTTGTAGAAAGGACAAAGTTCAGATAGATGGGGTAATATTTTCTAAGCAAGGTCACATGGGTAATGCAAACAATTCATATTGTGGTCTATCAGGAAATTATGTTAAAATAGTTAATAACCCTAATTCCAATTAATGATTAATTATGCAGTTAAAATTGTTAAAAGACAAAATAATACCAAAAAATAAAATACGAAATAGCAGATGTCGTTGGTATCCCACCAACATCCTCTCAGCACTTATTACACATATGCAGGAAAAAAGTCCTTTAAAAGTACTTGCAACTTTTCATCTGAAGACTTTCATGACCCCCGCGAAGCAAGCCAGAAGTGCTAAGGAATACCCCTGAGAGCAGCCTTCAACCAGTGACAAATTGAAGTTGAAGGATAAATATAACAATCGTGATAGGCTAAAAAATGTCCTCCAAAGATATCAGGCCCTAATCCCTGAAACCTGTGAATATTACCTTATATGGCCAAAGGTGTAATTAAGGATCTTGAGATGGGTAGATTATCCTGCACTATACAAGTAGGCCCTAAATGGAATCACATGTGTCTGTATATGATAGGAGGAGGGAGATTTCACACAGGCAAAAGAGGAAGAGGCAGTGTGACTACAGAGGTTATAGTCATGTAGCCACAAGTCAAGAAATGCCCCAGCCACCAGAAAGGGGACAGATTCTCCCCTAGCTCCTCTAGAGAGAGTGCAGCCTGCTGACAGCTTGATTCCAGTGATAATGGTATCTGACCTATAGACTTGTGAGAGAGTGAATTTTTTTTTTTCTTTTTAATTTTTAAAAAAATTTTTTTTCAACGTTTTTTATTTATTTTTGGGACAGAGAGAGACAGAGCATGAACGGGGGAGGGGCAGAGAGAGAGGGAGACACAGAATCGGAAACAGGCTCCAGGCTCTGAGCCATCAGCCCAGAGCCCGACACGGGGCTCGAACTCACGGATTGTGAGATCGTGACCTGGCTGAAGTCGGACGCTTAACCCACTGCGCCACCCAGGCACCCCTGAGAGAGTGAATTTCTATGAATGCTTGGCTGGCTCAGTCAGTAGAACATGGAACTCTTGATCTCAGGATTGTGAGTTTGGGCCCCACGTTGGGTAGAGATACCTTAAAAACAAAATCTTTAAAATAAAATAAATTTCTGTTGTTTTCAACCACCAAAGTTGTGACAGTTTGTCATAACAGCCATCGAAAACTGATAACACCAATATTTATACTAATCAATATGTCAATGTCCTTGTTTCTCAGAGGTAAGATGATTCTGAGGCATCTTCCACATTGCCTCCCAGAGATCCACAAAAGGAATGAACTCCACTTGCAAAGCTAACCTATTCATCAGCCCACTCTTTCACTGTCCTCTTCCCAGTCTCACTTCCCCATCCCTCTATCAA